TTTTTTTAAACAACTAAAGTGCAGCATTTAAATGTCATAAATGAAGAGAGGGTTTCTGAAATGAGTAGCAGTACTGGGTTAGATCAAATTGAGCCCAGCTGCTAACAAGCAGGATATAACTAGAGCAGGCTTCCTCAACCTCGGCCCTCCAGATGTTTTGAGACTACAATTCCCATCATCCCTGACCACTGGTCCTGCTAGCTAGGGATCATGGGAGTTGTAGGCCAAAAACAACTGGAGGGCCAAGGTTGAGGAAGCCTGAACCTAGAAGAAGAGACAAATACCATGAGCACCAAAGTTCCTTTTTCAGAGTATATCCCCTGTGGTTGCTCTCAGGACTGCCAAGAGGCAGGTTCAAGGGGTCCTGATGTAGCAGACCCACAATTAGCAAAGAGCTCCAGACTCCAAGCTCTTCTTCTTCTTTTTTAAAAAGTAAGACTCTAGCCCTCCACGAAAGAAAGTTTTGAAGCAAAGTGTGCAGTTACCCTTCTATGTGATTTCTGTGAGATGAGCCAGTAGACAGCTGCCTGCAGCACCTTTCTGAAGGCACTTCAAACAGCAGCAGATGAAGCTGGCAGTAGTATCACGGAAAGAAGAAACTTACAAAGAAAATTTATTGAGAATCGGGAGACAAATGAAAAGTCTTGAGTATTATTTTAGAGAGGAAATGTTTGTGTTTTGTTAAAACAAAAACCCGGTATCTGAATCACTGAGACAGCTATCAGGGGGTGGAATCCATGGAGAACAATGTTGCCCATCATTTGTCTGTTCTGATGTAATAATAATAATAATAATAATAATAATAATAATAATAATAATAATAATAATAATTAATTATTTATACCCCACCCATCTGGCTGAGTTTCCCCAGCCACTCTGGGCGGCTCCCAATTGAGTGTTAAAAACAATACAGCATTAAGTATTAAAAACTTCCCTAAACAGGGCTGCCTTCAGATGTCTTTTAAAAATAGGATAGCTGCTTATTTCCTTGACATCTGATGGGAGGGCTTTCCACAGGGCAGGCGCCACTACCGAGAAGGCCCTCTGTCTGGTTCCCTGTAACCTCACTTCTCGCAGTGAGGGAACTGCCAGAAGGCCCTCGGCACTGCATCTCAGTGTCCGGGCTGAACGATGGGGGTGGAGACGCTCCTTCAGGTATACAGGACTGAGGCCGTTTAGGGCTTAAAGGTCAGCACCAACACTTTGAATTGTGCTCGGAAACGAACTGGGAGTCAATGCAGATCTCTCAGGACCGGTGTTATGTGGTCTCGGCGGCCGCTCCCAGTCACCAGTCTAGCTGCCACATTCTGGATTAATTGCAGTTTCCGGGTCACCTTCAAAGGTTGCCCCACGTAGAGCGCATTGCAGTAGTCCAAGCGGGAGATAACTAGAGTATGCACCACTCTGGCAAGACAGTCCACGGGCAGGTAAGATCTCAGCTTGCATACCAGATGAAGCTGATAAATAGCCGCCCTGGACACAGAATTAACCTGTGCCTCCATGGACAGTTGTGAGTCCAAAATGACTCCCAGGCTGCACACCTGCTCCTTCAGGGGCACAGTTACCCCATTCAGGACCAGGGAATCCCCCACACCTGCCTGCCCCCTGTCCCCCCAAAGCAATACCTCTGACTTGTCAGGATTCAACCTCTATCTGTTAGCTGCCATCCATCCTCCAACCACCTCCAGGCACTCACACAGGACATTCACCGCCTTCACTGGTTCTGATTTAAAAGAGAGGTAGAGCTGGGTGTCATCTGCATACTGATGAACACCCAGCCTAAACCCCCTAATGATCTCTCCCAGCGGCTTCATATAGATATTAAAAAGCAAAATATCCATGGCAAGACACACTATTACAACAGTTGCTGGCACTCACTCTGGGAACTAGTTGTGTACAGAGCAAAGAACCACCAAGTATGCAGTAAGGAGCATTTTCCTGGAAAGCAAACGGTTTACAGTACAGACATTCCCCCCCCCCCATTTATGTGTGTTCAGTATGTGTGCTACTGCAAACACACACATCATGCCAAACCTGGAAATGACCAGAAAATGCCACAGATAGGGGCAGAATGGGGTGTTTGCAGGCTTTTTCAATAGTGTTTCAAATATATGTGATTTCACACACAGTGCCTTGGAATGTAACCCCTGTGTAAACTGGGAATTTCCTGTACCGGACTGGCTCCACCCATGAAGGTGGAGAGGCGCTATTTAACTGGAAGGGCTATAAAATGTTACTCTTTTGGCTAGGACTTCGGACAACAATAGCGTTCCTGGATCTTCTGTGGCTTTGCTTCTTGCTCCCACACTATAGCTGATGATTGACGATAGCCCAATGTGTGGGATTCAGTTTGAAGAACACATCAACAAAAGAATACATACATTTCCTAGATAACATAGGATCCAGTGGCAAGATATGTAAGAATGGTAATGTGGTTTTGTTCTCAGCAAATCCCACTAATACAAGTGGGTCATGCTGTTAAGGTGATATGAATTCACTAGAAAGACCTGAATGTTTAGTGAACTGTGTTTAGCACAAGATGCATTGACTTAAGAAAGTAAGAACACAAGAAGGACCTTGCTGGATCAGACTGAAGGACATATTAGCTGAGCATCCTGATTCCCAAAACAAGCAACCAGATGCCTATGAGAAGTCCAAAAGCTGGAAGGGGGAACACTAGAAGATCTTCGACTTTCTAGCAGCTGATATTCAGAGCCTTGCTGCATGTGATCCTGGAAGTTGTCCATACTATCATGACTAGTAGCCAATAGGAAATGAGAGAGGCTGTGTGAAATATAGGGCTGAAATAAAGAGCTCATGTGCTGTATATGCCCAGTTACAACCTGGTACCCCAAAAGCCTTTGACAAAAACGTATGATTCCTCCTTTGACAGCATTCACAGTACTATGGAAAACTATATGCCTGAAGGGAGACCACAGTCTTGCATTTTGTGACATGTTCCTTTCTTGCTGGAGCAGCTAAACGTTGCATCAAAACTACAACTGATATCCTTGCCCCAACCGAATAAAGCAATTTCTCTCTTTTTCTCCTTCAGCTTTCTACTCATATTTCACATAACGACATATTTTAAGGGATGAAGCAAAGTTTAGTTGGCAACATGATGCTTCAATAATTAATGTAACTTGTAACTATGAATGTATGGGAGAAGATACAGATATAATCTAAGGCCCTGAAGCTGCTTGGGAAGATCAAGAATGCATAGTAATATGGCCTCCATAAGCAAGACGTATATTTGCACTACTGAATGCTTTTATGGATTTGCTTTCTATGTCCACCTCACAACTGAGTGTCTTAAAATCTAGCCAACATTGTATGATGGGGAATCAGGGTTACTTTTTTACTTCAGTGAAGGTAAATAATCCATCATATACCTTTGGGTGTCTCATTCTGAATAGTGTACTGGTTTTTTTTTGAGCATCTGTCAACAGCAAACGTTTCTTACTTTGAGTCTATCCTTTCACATTATTCCTAACAGTTGAATATACATAAGAGTAGACCTACTGAAATTAATGGCTCTGAGTTAGTCATGCCCATTAGTGTTAATGAGTTTAGTTTGAGTGGAGCTAACATTTGATACAACCACTAGTAAATAACCCATTAAACATGAATTGAGAATATATATATAATATATATCATTCACTTGTAGCAGACAATCATGTGCTCAAAATGCCACAACTATATCTTCAAGAATTCGGTACAATGAAAGCTGTAGATCTCCTATCCCCCATAATGTAGAGCATGATAAGAGTGCATGTATGGCATGATAAGAGAGAGTTTCTGCTTAACTCTCAAGAAGGAAGGGCATTTTCTCTGGCCAGGTTTATTTCAAACCTCCTTTGGGGAAGGTTCTCAGGCAGGGTGGAAGGAGAAAGAACTTGCCCATGTGAAGACCACCTGGTGGAAACCCTTACACATATGGTTCTTAATTGTAAACTATATGCTGATCTCCGTCAGCAATTTCTAGATCAACTCTGCATCCCCAAATGGAAACCAGAGTTGGAGGTCATACATTTTCTATTACGGGGGAATGATCAGGAGCTCACCAAGTTAGTGGCTAAATATCTCTATTTGGTTTTTTGTCGTCGAAATACATTGCAGATGTTTGATCTTCCTGGAGACCTAGAGATGTGATGATAGACTGCTCTGCCGCCTTTCCTTTAGCAAATGTTTTGTGCCACTGGGGAAGTGGTAATTCTGTACAGTGGTACCTTGGGTTACATACGCTTCAGGTCACATATGCTTCAGGTTATAGACTCTGCTGACCCAGAAATACTACCTTGGGTTAAGAACTTTGCTTCAGGATGAGAACAGAAATTGTGCTCCGGTGGTGCAGCGGGAGGCCTCATTAGCTAAAGTGGTGCTTCAGGTTAAGAAGAGTTTCAGGTTAAGAACGGACCTCCGGAACGAATTAAGTACTTAACCGGAGGTACCACTGTATAGATTTGTTTTGGATGTTTGTATGTGATGCCAATAAAAGGTTTGATGATGATGATAAGGATGCATACTTATACATGACTTTTTTGTGCACAGCTTAGGATCTAGCTCAGCTCAATCTTTTATACATGTGAGAACGTAATAGGAGAGAAGTAGTGGATCTAGAGAGGCCTGTGAATATTGTGCAAAACAATTTCCTGGGCACATGAGGAAGTGACTGGTCACTTCCAACAGCAATTTCACTCACCCATCCAGAGGCTCCTCCCACTTTCAAAGCAGGGCTTGAGTGCTGCCACTGGGGGGTGGGGGTGGAGAGAGAATCTGAAATGTCCTTGTACACGTGTGAAATATTACACACAGTACTTTGAATCTCAGCCACTATTGGGGAAATATTGAAACGTGGACACCGCCAAAGAGGAACACCTGCTTTATCAACTAACAGCAATCCTCCTTTCACTGAGTGGAAGTTTGCAGTGTCTTTAATAGGACATTGTTTGCCGCTAGTCTAAAAATGTCCAAATAAAACTCAAACGGGAGACTGAAGAGTGCATAGCTCAAAATACTCTTTTATTTAAAGAACCTTGAATTGTTAGCAAAGCATACTTAATAAGATTACACTGTCATTATGTAGTTTAGGGATAGTGGGTGCCTTTCCTATACAATTGCCAGTTTCCAGTTCTTATCAAGGAGCTCCATGCCTGGACTTTGAATGAGCATCAATGGGGAAAGTGTCACAGAATCTAGAGGTATGTTTCACCCTTAGAGCACAGAGGTACTAAATAGTATCTTAATACCTTACAATTGCATCTATATAACTACACACTGGAGACAGTTTAAGAATGAAAACTGCAAAACACCAAATGATCTCTTCTCTTTCCCCTCTATTTGTCTGTGTCCTGTATTCAGAATAATTTGTTGAACAGGCAGCAAAGCATATGATTACATTTTAATAATGATAGAGAACAGAGAAAGTTAGGACTTGCCTGCTTCTGTTGGGAGGAAAGAGGTATTAGATTGTTAAGGAAACAAATCCTAAATGTTCTTCCCAACAGGACTGAATTCTGTCAAAACACCACCAGGATCTCTCAGCTGCCTTCAGGACAATAAGGCATAATTTCTTTTATGCAGTAATTTAGCAGATCTTCTGGTGCTCCCTCTCATCTCATCTTCATTCTACCCACCATCCATTCAGATACGCGCAGTTATGCTAAGACAATTCTCAATTAAAACAATGTTGGCCTCAAACAGAAGCCAGGATAAAAAATTTATTTCCTGATAGGCCATGCTTACTTGGACACTCATCCAGTTTTACCACTGGATTTTTATAGCACAGAAGACACTGAAATTCTGTAGGCTGTTTAATTCACCCAGGCCACAGGGCTGCCCATTAGCCTCTCTTGACGAAGAGAAATCAGCCTCTGGAACCATCTTTCTTCTGCTTCTGCCTTGTCAACAAACAGCTGTAAGAGAGGAAGAAAAGATACAACATGTAGACATCTTGCTGAGGATTAATATTTGTACGTATTGAAAATACCCCATGAATCCATTGCCAGAAACCTCAAGCAATCAGTAGTACAGTGGAAAACCTACACTGAGATGCCCTCATCAAAGTTAGGATTTTGTTGTGTTTTTCCATGGATTTTCAGCATCTGTCAAATTGTGGTACGATCTGCATCAGGTCTTAGCTTTGAGCATATGCCATATATCTGTACCATGCCAACTGCGTAACCACAATCACTATCCACTTATCTAGGCAATTTTGAGGTCTGGCATCACTATCTATAAATTAATCCTGTGTCACATCACTGGATCCTTCAAGCATCTCTGTAGAATTGGAAAGATCTCTGCTGCAGCAAGTGAAGAGTGCCTACAAAGCCTCAATCTAATTACGGTAGACAGAAGTTCAGGAAGATAGGTGCTTCCTCCAAGTATGCTAAGAGCATGTAAGAAAGACAGATTTCTATATTCTGATGTATACAATGCAGTGCAGGCAATTCAAAGGAAGTTATTGAAATGTGGGTACATTTGTATACCATAATGTAGCTAAAAAAACTTTTAAGTAATAAATGGATGCAATTTTCAGAATACCCTTTTTAATACTTCTTAAAAAGAGAGGACATTCTCTGGAATGTAAGTGAATTTGAGAGGTAAGACTGGTTCTCCCCTCTCCTCCCCCCCCCCAAGCAGCTCATAAGTCTGAAAAATAAATAAAAGGAATGAAAAAACCCAGATTTAGCTCTACCTAAATCTGGTTATAGCAATTTGATTTCCACATTTATACGGTAATGCACATGCTAATAGCTCTAGTGTTAAATGTTTTGTGAAAGTTGTTGGACTTTATTCAAAATACCCAGCATACATATAGGAACATATATATTGCATAACCTCATCTCTCCCCTTCCACAGGAACTTTGTTAGATAAAGGCTGTCATAATAAGCATCACCACACTCACGTTAGGATGGGCTAGTGAGTTTTCATCTTGGTATTTGATAGCAGTAGGAATAATTCCAGGCACTGTTTCTTTTTCAATAGATGTGAGAACAGAACTTCCCGGTTCTGCTGCTGCAGCTTCGCTTTTGACTTCAGCGGGTTCTGTTGCCTAATTGAGAGTGCAGGGTGGGGGATAAAATTCACACACAATCTTCATAGTCTAATTAATTCCGCTCTGAATAATATGAGAACATCATTGTCCTGTGACTGTAGACTGATAGTGAGAAATATACTGAATAACAGGAATTTCATGTTAAAGAATTAAACTAACTAATTAAACTAACCCACCATGTCTATTTTAGTGGATGCATGGAAGCACCAGAATGCCTTGGAACCTGGAACTATAGACTGGAAAGAAGCCAGTTTGAGATTCTGAAGTTGCTGAATTCTAGAGCAAGGAATTTCATTTATCTTTATAGGATCCTAAATCCTAAAGTCTCAAAACAGTTGTCACAATTATTTGTGCATTTCTCGTATGAAACCAAATTAATAAGATAAGGGGGGGAGACTGTTTCCAAGGGCTCACAAACTAATATATATTTGCAGCAAGGGATGCCTTATAATATAAGACATATATAGTGAAAACTGCAAAGGCCTGCTTGAAGAGACAGGATGCTACGCTCCAGCTGAAACTAGAATAGTGCTTCTGCAATAGTTCTGTAGATGAATATGGCACCGTCTAGCTCAGTCCTATTTACCCTGACTGGCAACAGATCTCCAGGGTTTCAGATGAGATGTTCCCAGCCGTACTTGAAGATTTCAACAACTGGTCATCCACGTGATACACACAGCACTTATCATCTTATTTAGCAACCCCCCCAAGAGTATCCTTTCACTCACCTTTTACATGACAAAGGGCATGTATTTCCTGACACAAAGACTAATTTCAGTGTTGGGAGGGAAAATGACTGAAGATTCCCTCCAAATATAGTTTGTCCAACCCACACCTAAATCACAACTCCAGTGCAAGAGAACTCCCTCTTAATTACAAGCCCAAACATCTTTGGAATTATTACTGCTTCAGATCTGGAATATCTCTATCTGTTCATTTGGAAAAACGTGATATGGTAAACCGCCCTGTGATCCTCGGATGAAGGTTGGTATAGAGATTTAATAAACAAACAAGCAAGCAACATTCATATGGCACTGGATTCAGAGAAGACCCCACACCTTGATGTGGGGTGGGAGTTGGAGGGCTGATTCGGTCTGGTGATAGCTTCTCCCATTGGAATACATGCTGCTCCACATGATCTTGACCTTGACAGAGGGGGGGGCTTCCCAGGGTGATGCCATCAAAAAGGGGGAAGACAAAAAGCCCAGGGATACGCAAGAAGCAGCCTTGTATTTCTCTGTACCCAAACTGGCAGTTTAATAAGTTGGATTGCTATATTAAAAAAAATACGGCCTTTGTGTCAATAATGTCAATACTTAAAAGCGGTACCTGTGCTGCAACCAGAACACACTAACTGAATTAAGCACATTATTGTTGACAAAACCTGCATTCCTTTATTATACCTAAATGCAGAATCACATCATTATGGGATCCATATATTTCTGATTTCTGATGACTGGTATTAGGATTACCGGTATGAAAGTCAAAGTCAATGTCAATGTCAACTGCATTAATGTACCGGCTTTCCACCAGCTCACAAGGGGCTCTATGCAAAGAAAGGAGATTGAAAACTTACCTTTTTGACTTCTTTACTTGATCTGAATGTCTGTGGAACAAAGGAGTCACTTTCAATTGCTTCAATTTCTTTTACTCGTTTCACTTGCTCTACGAGGCTGGTTTGGTCTATAGAAGAGGGTATAATGTCAGTATAGTTTAGCATAAGCTTAAGATCAGCGCTGTGCAATATTCTTCTAAAGTATTTCCTCTGCTCGAAAAATGGAAAACTCTAAGGTAAGTGATGGCTCTGCCAAGGAGAAATTATTCTTATTTTGTTCAGCAAGAAAAAGGATAGGAAGGATAAAGCAGATTCTAGACAATGGAATTGAAATATTTGCCATTTACGCCAGGTACAAACAGGATGGCACTGCTGACAAAGCATCTGGTAATCACGAGTTTGATTCCTGTTGCAAAGAGTACAGGCACCCTCCCACCCTCTGCCCCACAGTTCAATATAATGCCAAAAAGAAGAGACTTGGCGTTTTCTTTCTTGACTCAATAAAAAGTCCCCTAGCATCTGACCACGGTTTGATCCTCTCAGTGGGGTTCCACCTACCATTCTGATAATCACTCCAAACAATGATGGGTAATTCTATACAGAGCCCATTGTATCCCTAAAGTAGCTCTCTGTATGCTTATTGCATTCATGTAAACCATATTTAATATTCCAGCACTGCTTTATGTGACATTTTAAAAAGTTTTCCAATCTTTTAACAATTGAAAAAGTTGAAGAATGTGCTAGAGTTAGGAAAATTTCATTTTACGGACTCGCTTGTTTCCTTTTGAGCTTCACTGTAATAAATATGAATGCTGCATTTTTTCCACTTCTGTTGGAGATGAAATTAGTAAGATCGGGCATATATATACCGACAACAAAAAGATCCATCAGAAATTTAAGTACCGTACTTTGATCCACAGTAGGAAACCAAATAGAAAAGTTCTTCAGATAACATAGGTATTCAGCACACACTAAGGAACACAATAATTTGTGATATTTGCTGGACTGAGAAAGGTCTCTGGACAATCTGGAAGCTCAGTCTGGGACTAGATATATTTTTGGCACCCTTCCCTTTAAAATGTCAGCACTGTATTGTGCTAAGCCCATCAACTCTTATCCAGAAGAGCATTCCAGTATTTATGTGGACAAACAATACATACAAGTTTTATTATACGTAAAAGCTTTGCTTGATCAGAGGCAGACAGAACAGAACCTTGCACACTATATAATTTAGAGCTACTCTATGTCAGTCAAACAACCAAGGAAATTTAAAAGAAATTAATGTTGCCATACATAAGCAACGAAAAGAAATTTAGATCTGCTAATCTACACATTCAAACGACTGGACTGTAGCGGACACAGAAGGCTAAGTCAAATGGCTCACTGTTTTCTTATGCATCCACTGAGTACAGCCACCACCACTGGTATAATGTCAACTTATTTAGGATTAGGTTTCTACAATGTTGTCATTCAGGTCGCATGTTGTCCTTTCTCTCCCACTGATGAACTAGTATAGGACTTGTGAGACACCCTTGCCAGTCACTCCTATGATGGAAATGGTATCAAGATTTTATAACCACGCATAATCAAAAAGCCAGATACTGTCATGACAAGCTGCCCTCGATGCTCAGGTATATCTGTGTCTGCTTCACTTATGGTTTTCCAACACCGATGACAGATATCTGTGTAAGAAAAAGTGTATGCACTATATATAAATATATTGTCACAACTGACAAACATGCACCTGAATGTTTTTGTAGTTTAAGCATTCAATGGGAAAACTGTTGTAGACATAGGTTTGACCTTTGGTATTGGCGAGTGCTGTAATGTGAATGACAGTCACAATGTGGGGAACATGGTCCCCAAGAGAAACAAAATCACAGAATGTTTTCCAGAATTACTTCAGTGACATTAACTGGATAAAAATGGACTGGAAGGAAGCTGTATCCATTAGTCTACAATATTGTTGACAAACACATTATTGGTATATAAAATGACTTCCATATAGTGTTTGTCAGATGTCAGTAGAAAGGATATTTATTTCATAGTAAAATCAAAAATAATGGAGTCAGAAAGCTAAGAGGGTAGAGACAAAAAAAATCAATACTAACTCATTGGACAGCAAGTCCTTTCACTCTGGTCAGACTGAAATACAGAACTATTTGTATCAGTGACTGTTGATGCCATTTTTCATACATAAATCATTCCTTCTATAAGAATTACAATTAAGCTTGCTCCTAGTAGCTCTGTTCTTTTTATCTTATTACTAATGCGGGTGGGAAAACTTGGAGAAATAAGCATACATGGGAAACTATCAATGCATTTGTGCGGGAGGCTTGTCAAGACCTTTTTGTGATAACCTTCAGTTTTAATGTGTCTGCTCATACAGGCTTACGTCTGTAAGTCAACACAATCATACGGCAGCAGTAACCTTCTGAAAACAGCAGGTGGCATTGTATTACCAGTTAAACCACAATGCATAACAGAAGGGCTTCAGAGGCCTTGCCTTAAGTATCCAGAATTCATCTTATTTCAAAAACCAACATCTTTCAAGACTGTGACTCCTTTTGTTGTAACTTAAGAATATTTGTATTAATGATTTCTTTTTGTGTGTGTAAACCTGGCTTTCGTAAGTACCTTTAACGTATGTGCTGTTCCTATTTTTAAAGGGGGGCAGCTTTTTCAGTGGCTAACAGGATATTGTTGTTGTTTAGTCGTTTAGTCGTGTCCGACTCTTCGTGACCCCATGGACCAGAGCACGCCAGGCACTCCTGTCTTCCACTGCCTCCCGCAGTTTGGTCAAACTCATGCTGGTAGCTTCGAGAACACTGTCCAACCATCTTGTCCTCTGCCGTCCCCTTATCATAGAATCATAGAGTTGGAATAGACCACAAGGGCCATCGAGTCCAACCCCCTGCCAAGCAAGAAACACCATCAGAGCACTCCTGACATATGGTTGTCAAGCCTCTGCTTAAAGACCTCCAAAGAAGGAGACTCCACCACACTCCTTGGCAGCAAATTCCACTGTCAAACAGCTCTTACTGTCAGGAAGTTCTTCCTAATGTTTAGGTGGAATCTTCTTTCTTGTAGTTTGGATCCATTGCTCCGTGTCCGCTTCTCTGGAGCAGCAGAAAACAACCTTTCTCCCTCCTCTATATGACATCCTTTTATATATTTGACCATGGCTATCATATCACCCCTTAACCTCCTCTTCTCCAGGCTAAACATGCCCAGCTCCCTTAGCCGTTCCTCATAAGGCATCGTTTCCAGGCCTTTGACCATTTTGGTTGCCCTCCTCTGGACACGTTCCAGTTTGATGGTGTCCTTCTTGAACTGTGGTGCCCAGAACTGGACACAGTACTCCAGGTGAGGTCTGACCAGAGCAGAATACAGTGGCACTATTACTTCCCTTGATCTAGATGCTATACTCCTATTGATGCAGCCCAGAATTGCATTGGCTTTTTTAGCTGCCGTGTCACACTGTTGGCTCATGTCAAGTTTGTGGTCAACCAAGACTCCTAGATCCTTTTCACATGTACTGCTCTCAAGCCAGGTGTCCCCCATCTTGTAATTGTGTCTCTCATTTTTTTTGCCCAAGTGCAATACTTTACATTTCTCCCTGTTAAAGTTCATCTTGTTTGTTTTGGCCCAGTTCTCTAATCTGTCAAGGTCGTTTTGAAGTGTGATCCTGTCCTCTGGGCTGTTAGCCACCCCTCCCAGTTTGATGTCATCTGCAAATTTGATCAGGATGCCCTTGAGTCCATCATCCAAGTCGTTGATAAAGATGTTGAATAAGACCGGGCCCAAGACAGAACCCTGAGGCACCCCACTAGTCACTCTTCTCCAGGATGAAGAGGAACCATTGATGAGCACCCTTTGGGTTCCCCTTCTCCTTGTGCCCTCAATCTTTCCCAATATCAGGGTCTTTTCCAGGGAGTCTTCTCTTCTCATGAGGTGGCCAAAGTATTGGAGCCTCAGCTTCAGGCTCTGTCCTTCCAGTGAGCACTCAGCGCTGATTTCCTTCAGAATGGAGAGGTTTGATCTTCTTGCAGTCCATGGTACTCTCAAAGAGTCCCCTCTAGCATCATAATTCAAAAGCATCAATTCTTTGGCGATCAGCCTTCTTTATGGCCTAGCTCTCAACTTCCATTCATCACTTCTGGGAAAACCATAGCTTTAACTATACAGACCTATACGGCTAACAGGGTATGGCATGTAGCAATCGCACTTCACAAACATAATTAGTAGCTCCAGCACAGCTAGAGAGGAAGTAAAAGGGGGCAAATATTTCTTTTAAAAACAAAAACATAAACATAAAAAACAGATGATGTGGTCTTCTGTGTTTTAAAGGACACTGCAACAAGAAACCATTAAATTACAATGTTTCAAGCGGTTCAATTCTGTCACCTGTGGCTTGAATTGGGCTAATGGGCTTTTATTACATTACACGTGTTAATTAGCTTACCGATGTCAGGATGTTTGTGTTATCGTTGACGCTGCTTTGTGAATGGTCACTGTTAATAATAATATAATTGTCGCTGTCTGTGCTTTCTGAGTCTCTTTTCCCTCTGGCCTCACTGATTACAATCCCTTCCAACCATTTGTGTACTTGTATGTATGTCACTGATTTGTTAAGTCTTTCTAAGAGGCCAATGGACTCCGTTGGTTTTGTTGCAACACACTCACCCTTCTGAAAACTGTCAAGGAAAAGTGGCTTTAAAACACTTACTGCTAAGCATCAAAATAAGTTCAACATATACAGTATCCCTACTCAGCCATAAAGCTCTCTGGGTGACCTTGGGCCTGTCAAGGCCACAAAGCATAATCTACCTCACAGGGGGTTTGTGGGGGTTAAATGACGATTGAATGCCCAGGCAGCATGGATCCCAAAGGGTATTGGGAGGGGAAACTGCCAGGAGAGGAAGCTGTGGGGAGGAGTGGGGAAAGGAAGAAGATAAATGTCACAGGTCGTGGAACCTTCTCATGTGGCCACTTTCTTACTCTTACTCTCCAGGTTTCTGCCCCACGGCAATAAATATCTGAGGAAGCAAGAAGCAGGGCATTTTCAGTTCTATAAAACACTGTCCCAACACATATTGGTACCATACATTTTAACCTTGGGTTGGCA